AGAGGTATTTGTGCATCTGGCATTTCTTTGAAGTTGCTGTACATCTTCAAAGACACTACATTACAAAAGAACTATTTTCTTTTCTATCACCATGACATATACATGATGCACAATTACGTGGAAAGATTCAGTCTACATGATTGATACTTCCTTGCATCAAATCCATGCAAATGTTTAAGGGAGTTATACCTCAGTTCATATTGGAGGGTAGAGGAAAGGGAGAGAGTTACATTTTCATAGAGTGAGGGAGAGGTACGTTTTTTCTTAAATAGTTGTACACTGCACATTAAAAATGCAGTGACTTTCTATACAACTATGCAAGTTATTTTTGTGTGTATAATCAGTTACAAGTATTTGGGATGATTAAAATGTAGAATTCAAAGAAATAAGTTACTTTAAAAATGCAGCATCAAGATGGGATTTTTTTTCATATGTGAGAAAATACAAACTTGACTTTAAGATACTTAAGCTGTTTCCTTTAAAAAAACCCTTATTGATATAAACAGCTCAAGACATTCAACAAAAAAGTACAGCTAGTGGAAAGAAAGCACTGATAATTCAGCTGCTCATCTTTTGGGTTTTGTATATGGTTCTTAAACTACTGCTCCTGCCATCTTACTGTGAGGCACCAGAATCTGAACAGCTGGAAGCAGTCTCTTCCCTGAAAGTACTGTATACACCAGGCATACACAAAAAGCACTCCTGTGCTTTGTGTAATTTAATATCTTAAACCTCTAGTACCTCTTGGGATAATCAAATTGCCTTAATTGGTTAAGAGGATTTTAGCGCAACAACTGATGTCCCATCTATTCACCTCACTACGAGGGTCCTCCTGCTACTCCTTGTAGGAGTACTTTCACAACTCAGAGATTGCAGCTTTGGGAATGCTTTTGCAACAGTAGCATCTGGCCCCTTGGCACACTCCTCTTCCAACTGTGCCAGCTCTGCAGTTGCCTTAAGGGACATCAAATGGTCAGAAAGCTAATAAGATAGTTCACTACCTTGGACATCAATTTTCCTCTGTCAGCAATCTTCAGTTTTGTCCTCCCTCCCTCTTCTTTAAAAGCATCTGGCATCTTGGTACCTGCCTTTCTGATACATAAAAGGTCAAAGCATTGTGCCTACGTCTCAGAATCATGACAAGAAAAGTCTCTGATCTTGCTGAGCAAACAATTTTTGAAAAGTCTTTCATAGCTGGGAAAAAAGGTAGGGAGTGGGAAGAAAATTCATTTCAGACAGTAAATTCCTCCAGGTATCCAACTGGAATTGCAGATAAGTATTCTAAACAATTACTCAATATCAGCCTTGCAGGTAACTCGCATACAAGCAAGGGATGCCCTTCTGCTCTTGCATATTCATTCCCTTGGGCACAAACTGCGAGCCTTGCCTTGCAGAATCACCAGACACTTGCAGCTGAGCTCTTTCTGAAAAGTATTCCTGACAGCTTCACACGTAGCACCAAGATATTCTTTCACACAGATTTGTTCCTTGATGAAGGCACTCTGATAAAATGAAAATGGCATTACTGGCAGACAGACACACCCTTATTAGTAAATACAGCTACCCACATTCTAACCTGCCTCAAACCTGGTCAAGAAGACACTACTGAAGTTTCCATCACAATCACACAACACAATGATCAGCTCCATCCTCCTCATCATTATAAACTTGACAGATGGATTTCAGAGAGAGATGCAATTTAGACCCAAGTTGGAAAGGGCACATTTCTAACAGTCTCCTTCATTCCCTGCCCATTGTGGGAGCCAGGCTTCTGCTAAGGACAAGATTCCCTGTGGAAATCAGAAGCCTTGTATCAATTCAAGAAACCCTCTCTGTTGCAAATGTTGTGTAAATAAGGAGTAAAAATAGGCTTGTAATACATATATATATATACGTGAACTAGCTTAATGCTTTTAGTGCAATACATTCAACATACCACTCAACTCTAGTTTTTAAGTCATTGCATCTGAAGGTCATGAAGAGTTTTCTAGTCATTTGGTAATAAAACATTAGAAAATCAAGCTCGGAAACAGGATTTTCCCCATGGGATATTAAAATAAACCTTTTAATGCTATTTCTGGATGAAAAATTAAGCTGAGTTTAAGTTGTAGTTTCTACAGAACACACTATTTGTGAACGTATTCCCCCCCTCCCAGATAAATACATCTTTAATAGTAATAGTATCAACTTCTCTGAAACTAGAATGTCTCAATCTGAAATTTTAGACTCAGATTTCTTCCAGAACTCACAGCTATTTCTGGTATACAGACTTTTCCCAACTATATAATTTAATTTAAATAATTTAAAGAAAAACAATTCTTAGAGATATCTTTATTTATTTTCAGGTTATCAAGATTCTGAAATATAAAGAAAAATCTGTAATATTACAAACCAGAATATTTACCTTCTCAATTTCTACATAAACTTGATGGTCCCAAAGCATTTAAGACATGAATTACTCTTCACTAACCTCCAATAAACAAGGAAGGAATAAAGCATTATGCTGGAGCACGCAGTTTCTGAGCTTCAAGTTTCAGATTTAAGGCACCAGAAGGATTAAAAAAAGGATGTAACTCCCTTGTACCACAACTCAAATCAATGAACAGTGGTGGAAGAAGTTATTCTTATCTTAATGAAAAGACAGTAGTGCCTAGCAGAAACACAGAACAAAACTGGGCTCAGCTGCAGCAGCAGACAAGGTCAACCATAGATTAACACAAATTAGTGGGCAAGCCTTCCATTAAACCTGGGCTGACAGGTCCAAATAGTGTATGGCTGTGGAGAAATGCAATCCTCGTATCATTACGAACTACTCTGAAACATAGTACAGCATACCAAGAGATCTCTTGCTCCAGATACAGGAGTGAGCTATCCTCAACTATGCCTTTTTAATAGAGTAACTGTACCCTTCTATGTCCTTTTATCTACCACCAAAGAAACCAGCATCACAGTAAAGTCAGCAGAAGGGGGTACATGCTTTTCCCTCAGTATCTCACTCTGATTCAAGCAGAGTTGAAGAGCTGATGAGGGCTGCCTTACACTAATGCATCAGATCACGACCTGCAACTGAAGCTCAGGCTCATGTTCACTGCTCACACACAGTCAGACACCTCCATGTGAAGGAGGGAACAGATCTGTAGACAGGTCATGTCTAAAACTACCTCAGGTTCTCCCTCAGTTCCTGTAAGCTGGAGCACTAGGAAGTTGCACATCTGCTTAAAAATAAGTTGGTGTTCGACCACTTCATCCCAACTATTAGAAACTGGTTGGAGAGGCCCCTTGCTAGCTTCCCATACATGGGCCAAGTTTCAAAAGTCAAGGAGAGCGGTGAAGATTAATTAGAAACTGGCCAAACTCCCCCTCCACAGCACACTGTGGATGAGTATTTGCATCAATGTGTGATCATCTGTGCTGTGAGTCTTATTCTGTTTTCCTAGAGTGAAGATAAACAATATCATATTGAGGAACCAAAGGAAGTCTGTATCCATACAACATGCAAGCATTGGCACCTTTTTGTAATTCACACATCCAAGGAACTGGTTTGGTCTCATACAAAAACCTTTCCTGGAAGGACCATTAACCCAAATTCTGATTCAGAAAAGTTTTAAGAATACCTAAATAAAATAAAATAAATTTATATTTGCAATGGATCATACCAAAGCAGCTACATGTTCATACCAAGTTTAAGTCATATTTTCAAAGTGATGTCTCAGGCATTTCCACTTAAAACAATCCAACATGTCATAAAAAAAAAAGAAACACACCAGTCCATAAGACAATCAATAACACTTAGTTCCTTTAAAGATAAATTCAGCATTAAGAAAAACACATCCTATTTTACAGAATCAGTCTTATTTCTTGGGGAAAGGTAAAATTTAAACAAGAGCTGTGAAATCAAACTAATAACTACCTCCACAGAATCAAAGACGAGTGACCACCTTTTCCATACAACATTTTTGTTCCATATAGATCAGTAAATTCTTTGATAATGCACCTGTCATTCTTAATCAGAATTTGATCTAAAACATTCATTATGTACCCAAGATTGACTTGACATGTGTCTCAAACTGTCTTGAACCTTTCCCTTTGAAGAAGCTAGTGGTATAAAATAACACAGTAAATCTCTGTTCAGAAAGACAGCAATCTTATTTAGCAATTAAACATATTTCACAGGAAGAGATTCAAGTACTTTTTACTGCTCCTATGATTTAAAGATCTTAATTAACATCAGTTTTATTTCCCAAAGGAAAACAGCTGCTCTTGGTGACAAAGCATTTTCGGAGCACTCCAGAAACTGAAAGCTGAACTGAACAGCATCACGTGCACCCAGAGCAAAGCTTTCAAAAACCTTTCGGGGGGAAAGAAAAAGGAAAAAGCAGCTTTAATTGGGTAAGACTAAAGGTTGAGTGGGTCAGTAACTGCTCCATACACTAGAACACAGAGCTTGCAGATACACAAATCACTACAGAGACTCCTTCACAGCCCTGGAAACACTAACACTAGGCAGCACAAATTCTAAAGATTGAGTTTCTTTTCTGGATGCAAGGCATTTTGTTTGTTTTTTGTTATAATTTAAATCACAGAAGAAACAATTCTTAGTTCAACTTTTATATACATATAAACAAGAACAGATTGTATTTCCTGACCATACAGGGACTTACATTTCCCAAGGAATGCTAAAACAACATAGCAAAAAGTCAGTGAAAATTACAGCGTACTCTATATATAGAGCTATATTGTCAAAAGCTTAGCTAAATAACCCTTAATGGAAGATTAAATGGGAGGAATAGATTTTTTTTTTTTTTTTAAAAGTCTACTTCTAACCAGAATTTTTAAATAGAAGTTAACTGCATGGAGTTCTAGTGCAAAGTTTCATAGTCAGATAACAATATAATTTAAAAAAAGACTGAAGAGATTGAATTTCTGTTGCTGCATCTCACTGAAATACTGAAGTGATAAGACAATCAGGTAAAATATATATAATTTTTACAGGCACTTACGTGAATGGTGTGAACAGAAATGACAGTGTAGTTTCCTTTTTCTGACTCATCTTAACCTGCATGAAAAAGCATTAAACCATTATATGTAAGTTGAAACAAGACTAAAAATTGTATCAGGAATTAAACTAAAAAATCACAGAAGAGTTCTAAGACTTTGGAAAGGAACGAAATCACACTGTTGATACATTGTCCAGGAAACTGGGTGTTAAACTCCCGTATGTCTAACTCCTCTGAGTTCCTGGAAACCTAGACCTGCTCTAAAGTATGTAAAATAAACCACTCCCCAGCCAGTAATTTTCACAGAAGGATTCCTACAGTTCGCAGGATAAAGGGAAGATATGCTAGAAGTTCTACCAGACTTCAACAACATCTCTTGATGAAACGGGTATTATTTATGCCAGATGGGAACTAGTACACTGCAGCAACACTGCCGAAGCAATGCTGTTAGATCGATTAACCTGCACATGGATAAAAATAGAAGGTTTTGACGCTGTCAGAGCCACTTTGCCAAAGGCCCTTCAAAACATCTTTAAGGTCTCCTGCAGCAGCCTGACTTGAGACTGACTGTCGGCACAAACCACAAACAGGAACTTTCTAAGCATACTGCTCCCAAAACCTGACAGCTAGAAGTAGCAACTTGCATGTCTCATCCTATCCATCCAAGGCAACATCCTCTCCAGGGAGTGCAAATTTTGGTTGGGTCAGTCCATCACATGAAAAGTAAAAACCCACTTGGCATGTCTAAGTCAGTGCGCTACTTCTGCTTCAGCAGAGAAACACAAAGGAAATTCACACACAATCCTTCCAAAACACTGCTAGAAACAAGCCAGTCCACAAGAAAATAGTTAATTCAGCACTACAAAAATGACAGAACAAAAATAAACTTAAAGAAGGACCAGAAACTTCTTTCTTTAAACAATCCCTGACACACCAATTTAACTGAAAAAGACCTGAATCACATCCTCAATTCTTCGAGCAGATGTCTTCCAACTGTGGAGGTTATACCAGCATGCTTCAACTTCACAGCCAGCCAGCCACTTCCCTTGCTGCATGCCAGCCTTCCACCACAGATTTGGAAGTGACTCCACTGCTGACACTGCCAACCGGGTATCCACACAAACTACATTTGGGAACCTGGCATTCAAGGGACAGAAGGTGCTGATGGTGCTAATCTCTTGAAGGTACTCTCAGGCTAGTTCCTTGTTCCACTGTCATCACACAGATTTCCCAACAGGGCAACAGTTCCCTCTCTCAGTTTCCTGTCTGTGGAAAAGACAGTTTTCCCTCAGAGCATTTATATGTCTTGACAAAACTGAGATTTTTGGATTTTGGACTGTTTCTTACTCCACGGTTGAAAAGCATCTAGTGAAACATAAACTTTTTTTGTTTGGACCACATGTGTTCTCGTAATTCGATAAAATCTGATATTAGTTGAATCAAGACAGGAGTAGCCCGAGATGAACACTTGCAGACCAAAACAACAGATATGACAGCATTAGCTAAAAGTTAATTAGGCCACTAATTTCATTTCTTTAATGGACAAGTGCCTATTACCTTTTTGAACTGCTTGTGTACTGATCCTGATTTAGAGCCTTGCCTCCCTGCCCCTGCTGCAAAGCCAGTATTTCCCTTTTCAAGTATCAGAACTCAGATACTACCTAGATACTGCAAGCACGTTTACATTAATATTGATAAATATCAAAAGAATCAAGAAAAAAAGTTACTCATTCTCCTTACAAAAAAGGTGTTTATTAAAGTCTTCCAAATTCCTTCAGATATGGCTCACAGCTCATCAATGAACCAGCTCATCAATCAATCACCCAGTATGTGTATTCAATTTCAGTCCTTTGAGTTTCAGCATGCTATATACAGTGTTATGTCCCAGTATAATTATTTTTACACATAGCAACAACTATTATTCAAAGAAATATTTTTCTTTACCATATGTTTAGTTACCTTAAATTGCTCAAGAATCTGAACAGCGTTGGTAAACATGCTCTCTGCTTTGAAATGAGCACTATTGTTCAGATATTCCAAAGGCAGAGTTCCCTGGGGAAGAAAAATACACATAAACATAAAAAAAAATTAAATGAAGAAACAAGAATTTCTCTAATTGAATTGCAGGCCAAACGAGAAGTAAGAATACTTCAAATTACCACTGAAATAACTACTATAACTTCTTTGAAAATACTCTTCTAACATCATTTCTCAACATCACAGCGACTGTTTATAATATCTCAGTTCCTACAGGAATGCAAAAAAGGTAAATAACAAAAGTTATTATTAAACTACATACTGTATAGTAATACAACTTCAACTTCTAATCAGAAGTCATTTTTAAAATACCTAGAAGTCTTCCATCCAAAGCCTTGCCTGGGCCTGACTCACCCAGTGCTTACGATGGGAAAGCAAGCACTTCCCATGCCACCCTACTTTGGGCAGCTTTCCTCACACAACCAACAATGACTGCAGGACAGGGGGATAAAATTTGGGGCGGAGTCTCCAAAAGAAATACTTCAAAAAATGTGCTGTAAATAGGTGTTTTTAATGTGAAACAAGCAGCACAAAAGTACGCTAATATAATGCTAATTTTCAATTAGATATTTATGAGACAACCTTGGACTATGTAATAACATACGAAAGAAATTCAAAGAAAAAGCCATCTCACAATGACAGCGCTCACTGTTCACTGAATTAGAGGCACAAGATACCATCTGAAGAAAGTACACTAGTTTAAACAGGAAATAATTAAACATTAAATTGCAGGAACCAGCCTGTTTGCAGGCTTGGCTTTCATGATCAAAATTAAGTGTTATTCAAACCATATTGCATTTTTACCATCTCTAAAAAACAAAGCAACAGAAAACTTACGTACCTCAAGAGTATAAAGTTGCAGATTATAAAAGGATCCTCTGCCTTTCCAATTGAAAGCACTACACCATATATAAAAAGATAGAGTTCGTACTCTAAACTGAAGACACATACACATAAAGCTAAAACTACAAGCAGTCTCCATACCCTATACCACTTTTTCCAAACCTATAATCTTTCCCCTCACATGCCTCAAGTCTTGTCCCCAACACCTCTTCCTCTACAGTGAACAGATTTCTGTAATATGGAAAAACATTTGTACTTCTTACCACAGAATTCAGAGGGAAAGGCACACCGATAAGGGAAGCCATCAGTGGTGCTATATCGGCCTGTGCAAACAAAAGCATTCCCATTTTAATATAATCCCAGCCTCTAGAGCTAATAAGTTCAGTTTAATTTTAATGTATCTGCATTTGCAAAAGTAGATGTTATAACACTGTGAAGTTATGATAAAAAAAAAAACTGTAAAGGAGGGTTGTGTAAGTTTCCAGTAGTCATCACGGCATGATTAGATTCAAAATGTGAGGCTCCACTACTGATAAAGCTTCAAAAATACATTTAGTTTAAAAAGCAAATATAACCGCCCACAGTATTTATTCACAGGAATTCAGTATCTCCTTCACTGCACCCAGAGAGGCATACCACTTTTCATGACTATTTATACCACAGAGAGAACTAATTTCATATTTACAGTTTTAAGCAGAACACTGAATATACCGCTTTTCACAACACTCCTTACCCCGTGTTCCCACGGTGCCAATTACTCACCTTCTCCCCTTCAGAAGGGGATTCTGCACTTTTATTTGTGTCCAGTCAGCCCTCAAGAAGGCCCTTCAATCTACACCAGGGCATCTCATAAAAGAAGCTACCATTACCATCTACTTGAGATGATAAACACTGCCTCTCACCAGGTTTATATTTTCCTTTAATATAAAACTACGCACCAAAGTTCTTTGTTTCTCTAGCATAAATCTGAGGAAACTACACTGAAACCACAGGCATTGCTCCAGCCTCAGATCTGCTGGTGCAGAAGCAGACTCCAAATCATTATTTGTAGAGGACAATATACATGTAGTATAATAATAATTAGAATTCTAGTTTGCTACTTTTACCCATAGCCCCACATGTGCTACAGGACAAAAGCTTTGTCTTTGGGGACTCCATTACCCAGAACAAAGCAACACTTTAGACTCTTCTATACAGTCTCAAAATAACATTCCCATCACTCCTGCCAACCTTGAGAGGAAAATTGATCTCTAATTTTGTACCAGGGCTTTGCTGAAAGCAGTTGAGCCAGAACATTCCCAACTTCAACCTTCTAGCACGAGTTTATTTCCCTTGTTTGGGCAGGTTTGGAGTCTGTTATTTATGTACGGGCTTCACAGGATGACAGGAAGTAAGAAGCAAACAAGCTTCAAGTGCACACATGTATGTGCATTATCATGATGATTTTAAAAAGCTTGGCTGATTTTGTATCGAGGGTTAAGTCATCCACCTTTTTTTTTTTTTTCTTCCTTTACATTACAAATTGTCTAAATTGCTAAGTGGCTGGGCCATAATCACAGACCCTGTTGAAAAAAACCACAGTTTAACAGTACAGTAAGATGTGGTTTTGATTCAATAATGACAGCAACTTTGGAAAAAGTGACAAAATATAGACATTGAAATAGATAGCTCTGAAAACTAAACTGAACATACAGATGGCTAACTTAAGTGTAGCAAAAAGCATACAGTAGATGCTCACAAACTTGGGAACATGGTCACGAGACCATGCTTTCTTTGTGTTTTGCTGGGCATCTTCACAGGAGATACCAAGGAGGTGTAAGCTCAGCTCCAGAATATTTTCAAAGTAGAAAGCAGAGAGCAAGCATCACAAGTTACTTCCAAAGTTTTGTAAAAACAAGTCCCACTCTGAAAACACATTAGACGCTATTCAAGTTACTTTTGGGTAACCGGGACTGAGTTTGAGGCGTACCTGGCATACTGTACTGCACTCTTTCTACAATGGCATATGATCACTTCACTAAAAACGGTGTGATAACGCATCTTCAGGAGGAGAAATTGTGTGTAGTTGCCACGTGTATGAACAAGCAATTTAAACTTACTCATATCATGTTCGGTATGTGTGCAGTTCCTGCAACTCTAACTTTGAAGTTACACATTCCAGGGAAATGCTATGTTAATGTGATCATTCATTCAAATTCCACAAAGTAGTTTAAATCACACAAACCTCACAATTTAAGGTGAAAATTCATGAGCTATTAAATTAGGTATGTTTGATACCTGATTGACATCCAGCCTCTTCAAGTTCTCCAGTTTCCATTCTGAAAGAAATAATAGTGCACATGAACAGCTAATCTACACGGATTTGAAACGGGTAATTCAGTTGACATTTAAGGTCTTGTTGCCATTTTCTGTAATGTGTTGTTACTAAAGAAAATTATAATTTGGCTTTAGGATGCTAGCTCAAAAAGGGTTACAGATGGAACTCAACTGGCAGAAACAACAAAATGCATTCGTTTCAGTTCACATTTTCTTTTATCCATCAGGATAAATTGCTGTCTGCAATTGTGACTCAGATCAGTTGAAGAAAGACCAAGGGTTTTATTTTTTTCAGCATAGTATAGAAAGTGATGTATTATCTCATGTGCCAACTAAAAGATTCAAACTCAGGTTTAGGAGAAGGGCTGTTAAACCTCTCAATAGTTTTTAAAAAAGGTTAACCCAAGGTCCCAAATATACTGGTACAGAGTTGATACCAACATTGTTCACGTCTGCCATAAGCAATAGCGGCCAAGAGCGAGCTCAAGGGAAAAGTTCAATCATTTAGCAATCAGAACAACTACAATGAAGGCAGAGAAAGCCAAATGTACAAGCCCCTAAAGCTGCGGTGCATCATACAAAAAGCTAGTTCAAAACTCTCTTTTCCTGCTCTCCATTAGCCTCTAAGGAAATAAAGGGAAAATTGCCTGTTTTCTTCATTTAAAAACAGAGTTTAGTAGGGTTTGAGTTTTTTTTTTTTTTAATGTGTTCTTTTCCCAATGTCTAAATCTGTTGCCCCATTACCCACAGCAATAATATGAGCAGGAATAAAAAGAAAGCCCCAAAACACCCAAAAAAGATGACACACAGTTCACAGTTTTTTTTTTTTTAATGCAAGCTTAACACCCCCCCCCAAAAAAAAAAAATCACATACACAGGAAAACATAGTAGGGCCTGAAACAGACTTCCTGATACAGTACTTAAAACACTGTCAATGACCTACCTAGAGCAGATCTCAACTACAGCAGTAAAGACATTGTGGGAACCTACCCTCAACTTGGGAACCAAACTTAATGTTAGCATCAGGGGCCCAGCCACCTTCCTCAGTACACAAGGAAAGTGAAACGGGTCAGTCACTGCCCTGATAACTCTGCTTGCCAGAATGACACTACTGAATCAGCACATATGGAAGGAGGAGTCCGACTAGCACCTCAGACCATTGACGATATGGCCACATTGCCCAAAAATATCCTTTGGCTTTATACGAAGTAGAAGTTTAAATGCACCAGAAACAGGCTTCATTAACAATACAGCTAAACTACCGCTCCAAGGTCTGGCTTAACCCCATTTATTTTCTCCGAATAGGCATTCAAATCCTACACCATACCACCTTTTCCTCTATTTTTCATATACCCTGTCTGTGACAGACCCAAATTGTCTCAGCTGAAAATGCTCTGAGACAGGAAACATCCACATTTGCAGTACTGCATGTACCAAACTTATTTTCAGCAATTAGTTCATACTACTGCTAGCTTTGGGGGTCTGAGTAAAGGTCCACTGTTATTTGGTCCCAAGAGCACACTGAAGACCAGCCATGTACCTTAACAGCAGCAAGACATACAGCTACAGTGAGTTCCCATGGCAACGCAGGGGAAGTATTATCAGCGTTAATCATGAATTGTGTTAAACTCGCACCAAAACGAACAAGTTTGCTTCCTTTCGCTTCCCAGAAAAGGAAATAGGGTTATATTTCTAGAGAGATAGACTCACGCACATATTTCTGTTATAAAAATGCATTGTTCCTTTTCCTTTAAATAACATTTTCCAATGAAAAATGTTGGAAAACTGTCTACACGCACACAATGTGCTTAAGGTAGGAAGAAACTGTAGCTCTGCTAGAAAAACATCTAGCATTGTCAGAGGCTTTTACATCTCTGCTTCTCCTGTGCAGATATTCCCAAAAGGCAGAGTTGAAGACATCTGCCTTGGACCAGGAGCTGTAAGATGCTGAGCCCAGGAGGGCCCACACCTGCAGACCAGCTGCCCACACTGGTTTACGATTCCAGCTCACTGCCTAGGTTTCCTGTACAGTGCTTTGCACAGCTTTCCACCTGCTTGATAGGGTTTTTTTCTCGCTATCCTGCCCCGCTTTTACTGCAGCCCGCTGGGCAGTCAGATGCAAAGAGTCCAGAGGAAAGAGCAGGGAAGCACCTGTTCAAGAAGAGGCTGAGGCTACATGAAACAAAGAAAATCTCACGTAAAACCTCACAGAAGCAAAAACAGTGGAGGGGTCCACTGAGCTCCCTCAGCCACAGCAAAGTAGGCTGAACCCCCTTCAAAACAGGGATGTGTATAGATGAAAACCACCACATCACGTCCCTCTGCTGCAGAAGGGCTGTGCCTTTACTTACAAGCTTCTCTGGACTTGTGCTCCAAGGCCACCCGGCGGGGCCTATGCTAAGGAGCTGGAAAGCGCCTCTGTATTCTCTTTCTTTCTGAAGAAGGGTCAAGCCAACGGCCAAATGGGTAATACTACACATTGCCCACAGGATGCAGGGCTGCCATCACAAATCTTTCCAAGATGACTGCACAGCCAGGCCTGAGGGAAGGCAGAGCACAGGTGAAAGGACTGATGAGGAGAAAGCTGTCATCCCAGAGCAGACACTGTGCCCTTCTGGCCGTCCAAGGAGCACATTAATCCTTCCATGACAAATTGGACAGACTAAGTCCTGCCTGCTGGCACTGCCCTTCGGGGTGTCGACCCTCAATGGCAATAATGAGAAGAGAGACAATTCACCAAGCTGCCTACAGCCTGCTTGCACTGAGCAGAGCATAAGAAGTTTGTCAGGATTAGAAATATTCTGCTGTTTCCACGAACTCTTGACTCAGAGACACTAGGAAGGATTGTCATCAGACACAAGAACTTGAACATTGGTGCATGCAGTCGCAAATATAAGTCGGACACCTGCATACACCAGTGACACAGCGGCCTTGATAATGCTCTGTCTCCTGCACACCGTCTCAGCTGCATTTGTAAGGAGCAGGAAAAGCAAATTCAAAGAACTTTCAGAGATCTCTTTTAAGCATCTTTTCTTTCATATGTTAGCTTTGTGAAAATATCTGGGATTGTAACTTAATGGAGTAGCTGAACTGTATTGACCTGCAAAGTGTCAAGTTCCATTTCGACAACAATTTTTCTTTACTTTTAAGCTACATAGCCTACTAGAAGCTATAACGTACTACCACAGAGAGAATATTCACTTTTTAAGAATATACTTACTACTCCAATAGAGATTCAAATTCCCAAGATACTCAGAGACTCAAATCTCCAACGGAGATTACCCCTGGCCATTAAGAACCTGTAAAGATAATGTCTAAACAGACCAACAACACGCTTAACAGCTGGAAAGCTGCAGAGCAAGTGCAGAATGAAGGGAGGAGTTTCTGACGTTTGCTTTGGGGTGTGTTGTTTTTTTTGTCTGGTCGTTGGTTTGAGTCTTTTTAAACCATCAAAAGGAAAATACGAAGCAGGCACAGCAGGGTGCAGACACATTCTCTCCTTCAAGAAAATACCCATTTCCTAACAGATTACAGCCAAAACCCTTTCCCTATTATACCTGGAAGTCAGCTCAATAGTCATCTTTTTTTAAATGCTCTCACGCCATTTTCATCATTGAAGTCAAATGCTGAGGTTTGTACTAAAGCTGGTGAGAATCAAGGAAACTGACAGCTGTAAAAATAAACTATTACAGATTAACCCTTAGAGACATCAAGTGTCCTTAGAAGTCTAGCAGATCAGTCATCACAGACATGAAAATCACTTGGTTTTACTGTTTTCTATTTTTTATTCTACAACTCATTTTCATCAGAGGTGTCATTTTTACAGCAGCAGTTAATCACAATGAGTGAAACGTTAGCATGGTCTATATCTGAGAAGTCCTGCTTGTTTAATCTGTTATCAAATACCTTCTCAAGAGCAGGGTGGGGTTAAAACCTCAGAAGTCATTTTTGCCTGTTTTCTGTTCTCTAACATAGCTTGACAAACAATCCAATAAAATAGAAAGTCATTACCTCATTGATTGAGAGTAACAATGCAAGAGATTCAAGGCATCTTAAGAAATAGAGTAGGCTACAAGAATGGGGCACACGAAAGAGGAAGAGCTTGCACAGATTAATCACACCGTTCTAGAAACCCATTGATATTTCAGTAAGCCAGTATTTATCACATTATATATTTGCAATATTAAAAATGGATTATTTTTTAAAAAGTTTACTCTTCTTAAATCAATTACAAAGGGAAAAAAATAACAATGAAGAGTCACAGTTTTTTGTTCAGAAAGACTGCTTACATTTCCACAATAGCCACAAGGATGTGAGACAAGACAGCCCCTGGAAAAGTCCCCAGGATTGTACTGTGAAGCTAGAAAAGAGTCTTAGGACATGTCAACTTATCATGTTTCTGTACAAATAGCTTTTAACCTTTGGGAGTCTTCCTAAGAATTAAGTCTCCTCTGGAACCAAGTTTTAGGAGTGTAAATAGCCTCCTGTACTCAAAGAGAGAAAGTTTTTAATACCATGATTAGAAAAGAAAAACAACTCTGACATTACCCACCCAATTTTGCAATATCCTCCACAGGCATGCCCTGTCACCTTTTCTTTCCACACCACACAAAGCAAGTCATATTTACTGTAATGGAGCAGAAGTCAGCAAATATCAAGAGGTGTAATGCTTAAACACCTCCCTTTCTACCAAAATCTTCCACTTAAGTTTTATATTTTACTTACCTTTCAAAAAATTGTCTTTGAAGAACTGAGATGTGACTTTCTGTGGATAATTCACCCCAGCACCCCAAACAATCAGTGGTGTTAAAGTTTCTGAGGGATGACCAGCTCCATGCGATCCTAAGATACACCAAAAAAAGTGTAAACTTTAAGACACATAGCATAAAAACAAAACCAAACCTATACATATATGCATACACATACTAAGTTCTTGTTACAGTACACATACTAAAATCCTGTTCCAGACAACCTATTCCAGCTTCATAGCTTATTTTTATGCCACTAAAAATAAAGGCTAAATTTAAGTTGCAGTTTGGGAAATTGGTACCATTTAAGTCAAGCCTATAAAGATACAACTTTGTACACTAAAAACCCCAAACTGTTAACATACAGAAACTGAAGCCAAAGTATTTGAAAGCGTCAAGGTGTAGAGGAGTCACCTGCTCAAAACACGTGTACATGCCTATCCTGAGCATCTCATGGAAACCAGGGACAGTTGATTTGAGTAAAATCAGGCACGTGCCAAAAAAAAACATATAGAACTGATCTCTGGTCCCCACATAAGGATTAGACTTCCATTTCAAAACCAGAAGATGATATGCATTGCAACTGCCATCCTTTCCTCAGTGATATCAGTTCATTTTTAAGGTTTTGAAGCCTGCTAGCATACTCCTTAAAAATTGACAAAGCATGACTTACTTCCTGGGGAAATTAATTCCCTCCAGACAAACATATCAACCACCAAAAGGAGGAAGCTTTAAAACTATGACCTCTCAAGAGCAGCCATACTCAAGCAGAAGCCATACAAGCTTGAAAAAAATGCCGGTCATTGAACTCAGGGGGTGAGGCACCACAGCAGTGAGATACCCCAGTCTCCAAGGGAATGACACTGTTACACAAACTCTGTATCGGTCACTGCATGGTCTACATGATTATACATTTTCCTTGTATTTGCATAGACACACACTCTTCCCTCTGTGTGTGTACATATATATTTTAATAATAACTTATCATAGAATAACCCATTTGTTTTAAGGAGAGTTTTTTTTTTAATTTAAAAAAACAAACCAGAATTGGGTATGAAATTGGGAACAGTATTGAGGCTGTACAACAATCACTATGGCAGAGCTGAAGAGCCAGCTTTGCTTTCTTTAAACAGTCAGCTTTGCTTTCTTTAAACAGCCCTAAGCTTAAGAACACACAGGTCTGGGAATAAGATTCCTGATGTTCAGAAATCCCTTGGAAGGCACTCTCTAGGCTCAAAAGCAGCAACAAATGCTCTTCTTTGCAGTGTTTAGGAAAAGAGCAGATGGAAACAGTACTTCCTCCACCTTCCAGGCATCAGTTATTTCTTTCTATTGCAGCAGTAAAGTGCAATTTTTTGTGAGCTTTCATTTTAGCCAAGCCACCGGCTCCATCAGCATTTTACTGAGACTCTCACTCCATGAATACTTTAAGGCAGACACAGCTGGGAGAGGCAGCTGTATCCAGCCCTCCCCTGTTCTAAGAACCAGGTTTCAAGCCTGATATGAATTATAAGAGGAAAAAAACCCCACAACTATTTTCAGCTGGGTGAGTTCCCTGTTCACCCCATAGCACACTCCAAACACACCTTTTCAGGGGAAAGGGAGGGAAAGGGTGCTGCTGTTTAGTTTTCTGTTCTCTAGTCCAGTGTACTACACAGCAATACTTGTGCCGGGATGGCAGAGGGAACAAGTGGTCAAGGAGAGGGTCGGTGCGGGACCACCTGTGATGGTGGTTGGCAGTTCCATCTGAGATCAGCTTAAAGAAAAATCATGATCATGGAGTCAGACTGAGAAAGCAAGTGATTTCATCGGTGTTTGCCAGCAACCACAGTTTCTTTGATCATGTCAAGAACATGTTCTCTTCCCTAATAGGGCCACCCTGCCCTTTTAATTTTTAGTTTGTCTTAAAACTGGTGCACATCCCATTCTGCAAATAACCACTGAAAGACTGCAGCAGTTGCTGATACTACAAGCTCAAATAAAAAGCTACCAAACTAGCTTTCAGACTGCTGGCTATGGGGCTGAGTGTCATCTCTGGATTTGACTCTTGGACTCACTAAAGTGAACTTTAAAGTTACCAACACTTCTGGCAGAAGATTAAGTTTTTCCTTTGAGACAGAAAGAGATGACAGGAAACTATGACAGACCAGTGATTCTCAAAGCCTAAAGATTTACTCCTATCACCTTTTATTCCCACTTCAAAGGATCCAGTACATAATGAGAACACCCCAGCAGCACACTCCAGTAGCAAGGAAGGCCAATAGCACCCTAGGCTGTGTTCTCATGAGCATGGACCAGGGAAGGGATTATCTTCCTCTACTCGGTACCTGTGGAGACAACCTCTACACATTGGATCCAGCTTTGGGTCCCTCCAGTACAGGAAAGACATCAACCATCTGGAAAGAGCTCAGTGGAGGGCCCCTAAACTGATCAGAAGAGCGCTTGTCCTGTGACGAAGGGCTGAGAGACTGGGACTTGTTCAGCCTGGAGAAGAAATGGCTTTGGGGAGCATCCTGCCTGTACGCCACTGTGAGGGAGTTTCAGAGAGGATGGAGCCAGGGTCTCACTGCGGTGCATGGTGGGAGGATAAGAGAGAACAGGCATAAGTTGAAACCAAGGAGGTTCAGACTGCAAAGAAAACCTTTTCCCTTCCAAAATAGCAGAGCAGGCTGTCCAAAGGAGTTGCGTAGGTTCCATCCTTTGTTTTAAAGGCCCTGCTGGATCAAGTCCAAGCAATTGTGTCTGGTCCTAACGCTACTCCTGCTTTGAGTAAGTGGTTGGACCTTCTGAGGTCACTATGATCATGTATCATATATATTAAAAAAAAAAAGAGAGATATATATACACACCTCCCTTATAAAAAATTATGAAATGATTTCTTGAAACAGACAAAAAAATACATGCCACAATTAAAATTTTATTGCAAGTGGCAGTCAGATCAACAGTTAACAATATTCAAAACAGACTATTTTGCAAATGAGCAGATGGTAATTAGGCTGATTTTTTGAATAAATATATGAACATTTTTTGTCATCTCTGATGACAGGAAGAGTCTGCAACCCTTCCATTTAAAAAGTTTAAAGATTTCACACACAGAATAAGATGTTGGATTTTGCCAAGACCATGCCTAAAGCATCCTTGGTTCAAAAGTATCACAGTCAGAAGTTACAAGCACACACAGCATTGGAAGAGAGACTTATCACTTTCATTGGCTGCACACAAGGACAGCAGTGTTCTTACAATTCTTGAAAAAAAGAAAAAAGAAGAAAAAAATTGTCCAAACGCATTCACCACTGTAAACTTTTCTCATCTGCCCTTAATCCAGTTATGTCAAAACTGCCTCAAAGTCATTTGGCCACTGTGGTCATGCCCTTCACAAGTGCCCTCAGTGGGTACCAGCCTGGCCAGCCACCTGCATCACTCTCCTTTCCGTACTCTCAGCTGCTCCACCTAGTCTCCAGCACCAGCTTCTTCTAGGAAGATCACACAGCACGCCCCATCCTTTCTGCTGTGCCTAAAAGGCCAAAATAAGTAAAAAGATCCTGACCGCAAAGTTTTTCACCAGTCCCTGAACAGATTTGCCACCTTTTCCAGGTACTTCAGAGCACCAAAGTGAAAACTGTATCCCCTACATGGGCTGGAACAAGCCCAACTTGGCTGCTGGCAGCCAAATAACACAATCTGCTCCTGCTTGGGCTAGTTTTCTGCAGGAAGGCTCTGACAGAGGCAGTACTCAGGTCTTTTTATCCCTATTAGCGGCCACTAGGGGAGTTAAACTTTACCCTATTAATTTTCTTTTTTCTTTATAGATATGCAACTCAGCTGTCACAGGGCTGATGAGGGCCTCTGCAGCCAATTAGCAATCTCCTAATTTGCCTGGGTTCCATATACAAGCAACACTTAGGATATCAAATCAAAGTAGGGGCTCCAAAGCTTCTAATGAGATAGAGCTCTAATCGCACTCCAGATACTCACCCATAAACTCAGCTGTCTCAACATTTAAAAAGACTCACCCCAATCTGTCATTCCATGGTCAGAAGTTAAAATAAATGCAGTTTTTCCATCATTTCCATAGAAATTGTCAATCATCGAAGCAATTTCTTTTACACCCTCATCAACTGTTTTAATATTTTCCTTGTATTCCCTAGAAAAATAAGAAAAATGTTGTTAGATTTAAGGTGGCTCTCACACTTGGTATAAAGCAAGTTATCCATGGTCATAACGCCCAGTCCTTTGATTACAGACAGCTTGATCCTCTAACAGAACCTCAGGCCAACAAGGCATCCTAGATACAAAATCTCTCCTCCTTTAAGTCTTATGTGAGATACTAAATTGTCAGAGCACAGTTTGAAGGTTCCTGAAACTACAGTCTCAAATGGATGTTTATTTATATTTCAAATCTGACTGGTCCTTGATTGAAGACTATAATTTAATCACCCACAGTTATCAGGCAACTTAAGGAGAATACCAAAATCCAGGAATTCTGGAAAACTCAAATGCCTTAAATTGTAGGTTTCAAAAATTATTTTAAGCCAGTAACCAAATAGCAAGTAAAGATGTCACCATGAAGGGACTGTTTTGAGATGATTCACAGAGCAGCACAGATCCCACAGTTTTGTGGAATAGAGGATAAACCAAAAATTTGTGTATTTTTAGAAAAAGTGACCATGATTAATTTTCAGCCAACTAATTTTCTATTTGTTGCCATTGTTAAAGTCAGTTTTAAAACTCTCTCCTCAAAAAATCATAACAAAAAGAACATGAGACGTACAGCAGGTATGAACTTCAGAATTATGCAGGAAATCAGAGCAATGATAATGAAGGTACGGAAGGATCAAGAGAAAGACATAATATCCTACATTCAAAGCATGAGAGGAAACGAAAAGAAAGTTCTCAAATAACGCACTTCAAGATGAACTGGTGATGAGCACTATTAATCTAAACTCTTCTCTTTGTTCAAGTGTCCTAAGGAAATCTAAAACATAATGCTGGAATTTGCAGCCATTACTCCCAAGTTTACTATAGACCACTATGGTTATCTATACAACTCAACCATACCATTTCAGCCACGGGGAATCCAAGAACTGTTCCATTTTATATTTTAAAGTGTAACTTCCTGCATAGCTTCTAGGTTATGTGTTGACTACAACTAAAATGATCTGCTAAAATTCACACTTGTGTACAGGAATATAACCAGGCACAATGTATATAGCAAAAATCTGTCACTTCTACAGAAGAGCCCTTAAAAACAAAGAACTCCAGAAAATTCAGAACGTAAGTGATCATGGTGACATATATGACCTATTGTAGAAAGCTTCAAGACTACAAGTCTTGTTTCAGGCTTGATAAATAGCACTTTAAAAAGTCACTGTATGCATTTAAACTAATAAGAAAGATATGCTTAATCTCTCAATTACCTTGAATTTGGCCGATGAGCATGTCCATTTGTGTCTATGCCTAGCAAATGCAGGAACAGAACCACCTTCTCTTCATTCAGTGCAGAGAACAACGTTTGATTACCTCTGGAAGAATTAAAGAAGCTCTGTACGGAATAAGCCATTAAGATATACATCTGAGTACAATGGAAAAAGATGATAGGCAGCCTAGTAAAACTAAAACACAGCTGTTTTCATGTCAAAATACTAGTAGTTATTAGAGTTACTAAAAATTAATTACTTCCCGATTTACTTCTTGGAGGATAACTACCATCAGTATAGCCAGTCCAAAGTTTCAGCTTATCTAAGGCAACACTTCTCTATTTGAGGGGTCTTTTTTGTGTTTG